TCAATTTGTAAGAAAAAGACAAAAAAACAGCATCTATGAATAAAAGACAATAAAGTGAGGCATGCCTTTATACTTAAAAATGGTCAAAATGGTAAAGTTTATGTGTATAAAAAAATTTTCAAAATTAAAAAATATCTTCCTCTTAAAAAAAAATAAGAGAAAAAAGAAAGAAAAAGGGAGGGAGAAAGAGAGAGAGAGAAAGAAAAAAAGAAAAAGAAAGAAAGAAAGAAAAGAAAAGAAAGAAAGGGACATCTGGGTGGCTCAGTCGTTTAAGCGTCTGCCTTCGGCTCAGGTCATGATCCCAGGGTCCTGGGATCGAGCCCCGCATCGGGCTCCCTGCTCTGCGGGAAGCCTACTTCTCCCTCTCCCACTCCCCCTGCTTGTGTTCCTGCTCTTGCTATATCTCTCTCTGTCAAATAAATAAATAAAATCTTAAGAGAGAGAGAGAAATAAAGAAAGGGAAAGAAAAGAAAAGGGGAGGGGAGGGGAGGGGAGGGAGAAAGACCTTTGCACCTCAAAGGGCTTCAGCCCAGAGGAGAAAGGTAGAGACTGCCGATGTGGAATTTCTTCCCACACTCGCTGCAGAGACGGCCCACTGCCCATCAGGCCACGTGATTCCCACTGAAGGTGAGTAATCTGATATTGATCATCTGAGCCTTCAATTCCACCCCTCGCCTGACTTCCCCAGCGTGAGCTGGGAGTGCAGGAATCCCAAGAGTCTGCACGTGACATTCACCGCCGTCACACAGCCCAGTGGGGACCCGGAGGGCCCGTGGGGCGCTGCAGAGGGGCCCACAGGCCACATGGGCCATGGCATCCAGAGTGTTCCACCGAAGGGGAGCCTGTGAACACCGCCTCCCTCAACTGCTTTCCCACCAACCTTCAGCTGACCCAAGCTCACCATTTCCTGCTGGAGGGACAGGATATACTTACCTGGCCAAAGGTGTATCTGGGCCCTTGTTTGGTTAACACAAGCCCCAGTGCGATCTGGGTTTACAAGAAATCTTTGAGCTTTCAGCACCAGCAGCGAAGTACTCAGGGTGACACGCGGCGGTCCCGGGGGAGGTTCCCCAGAGCCATCACTCAAAGCCCATTTGGCTGTACTTTGTACACAAACCAACCAGCTTTGATACCTGCATTCTGAGAACAGGATGAAGGACAAGCGGGAGGTTTAAAAGGAAGCTCTGCGAGGACAGGGGCAGTGGAGGAGGTCACTGAACGCATGACAACAATCTGAAACAACGGTGAACACAGCAGGCAGGAAGAACGCAGTAGCTTTGGGACCCCCGATACGGTGGGCCCACTGACTAGCAGAAGCAGCCCGGACTCCCACCACCGAGCACCCCACCCGAAGCGACAGCGAGGGCACACTGGTCCCGAGCTTTCCTCTTCCCCTCCCCAGAGAAACCAACAGAAAAGCAAGGGCTCTGCAGAGCTGATCACAGACGAGGATATGGCCTGGTGATAAACACAGCAGACGATGCTCGCTGGGAACAGATGAGACCCAAGCGTGGACAGCAGGAGGGCCATCCTCACCCTGGAGACCAGGAAAATTTGAAAGTCCAACGATACAAAGGAGTGCAACAAGGACATGGGGCAGGGACTCTCACAGCCCGCAAGCAGAAGCGGGGCTTGGGAGCATCACTTTGGAGAGCATTTGGGCATCTTCTTGAACACACGCTAAGTGAACACATTCCCTTCTAGGAATCTGCAGACTGCACGTGGGGGAGCCTGCACGAGGACCTTCCCGGGGATAGAGGAAACACGGGACACAACCCGAATACCCATCGGCACAACAGATAGGCAAAATGTGACGAATCCACTGGGAGGATCAGCACACACAGCACTCGGCAGGAACGAAACAGCCCCAGCGAAGGGCAACAACAAAGCTCAAATCCACGTCGGATGAAAAGCACAGGCCGCACAGCCACGTCAGTGTTACACGTCTGTGGGTGTGACAAACACACAGAAACAAAGCCCCGTGCCCTTGAGTGCCCCTGGGGATTTGAAAAGCAAACTCATACTGGTAGGTTCAGCAAGTCTGAGGAGCTACACTTTAATCAATACATGATAATCTTTCATTTCTATTTTTTTTAAGCTTCTTAAAATAAATTTCTAAGGGAATGCAGAAGAAGCCAGAGCTGAGGTTCCATGTCTACGAGGTCCCTGGAGCCATCAGACTCGCAGAGACAGAACGTAGATGGTGGGAGTCGGGGCTGGGCAGGGGCTGGGAGGTTAGTGTTCACGCAGACAGAGCCTCCGTTTGGGAAGATGAAATCGGGGGGATGGGGGCCGCTGCACAACAGCATGCATGGGCTCGATGTCCCTGGATTATACACTTCACAGTTAAAACGGGAAACTGTGTTATGTATATTTTACCACAATGAACAAACAATGCAGAGCGGTAAGAAGAGTGAGCAATAGCGGTACAAACTGAACTCCAACATACACATCATTAAGGAAGAAAGCAAAGCTCATATAAGAAATAGAAAATACTGGGGCGCCTGGGTGGCTCAGT